ACCTAGGGCCCAGCAACAGTTGGAAACTCTTATCCATGCAGGCAAGAGGGCAAGAGGTTGAAAATTACGTTTCGGAATCCAGTGAAAGTTATAGGCATGGAAAAGGAGTCACTCAATAGGAGCTTGGGCCAAAAAGGAAATATAGCAGGGAATAAATTGTACTGTAATTTCTGCCTTCTTCCACGCTGCTTTTCTGCTGATGTTCCCCGTTGGGAAAGGCAGTATCCTGTGCTCGGTCTTTTAACTCTGCTGTCACAGAATGGACCTTGGCTTTGGAACACTTGCTTACTGGGAGATGAGTAAGCCCGCCCTCACAGCTCCTGCTCTCCTTACCTTCTCTGTGGGACCATCTTCGCCTGTTTCTATGCTCACTGAGTACTCCTTTATTCTGCTCAACCACATGGAATGACTCTCAGACCTGCCCCCTACTTTCAGTGTTGCAAACTTAGAGGCTGGTTATAGAGGGGAAGGGTTTTGTCTGCAGCAGCACAAAATGTGTGCTCTGAACCAATTCCCCTTTGTTCACTGACTACTGAGGACACCCTGATACACACAGTTGGAGCTGATCTTACTCTTCTCTGTGTGAGTAAAATATGTTCTACTCCATGCTTGACTCTGAGGAGTTTGGGCAATTTTGATACCCACATGCAGTAGGTAGACGTGTTTAGGGAATGGTCCCCGGAGTTGACAACCTGAGCATGGTGTTCTATACTATACTTCCTCTCACTGGCAAAACCTAACCAGAAACTGGCCAGAAGTGAGGGGATAGAACATGACACAGAAGGGTAGAAAATGGATCAAGAGGAACAGCCAGACAATAATTAGCAGAATGCTCAATACTTATTTTTTTAATTACATTGAATTTTTGTTGTTAAACACAAGTTAGCCTTACATGTTATTATTGTGAAAAATTGGTTTAACGTTTCTGGTATGAATGCCTTGAAATGAAAATCTCTTTGGAATTGTAGCGGCAACTATTGGTGTCTTACATTTTGAATAATTAAAATAGTGAAAATCTTATAATTTATAAAAATGTGAAATTATAATAATTCCACTTGTTAAAACTTTTTATTTTTTAAATATGCATTACTCAAAATGTGGAATTTAGATTACTTAATATGGGGAAGACCAGTTTATTTTCTATGGCCTGTCTGAAAAATCACTACTGTGAATCTTTTATTTACAGATTTAAGGATTGTAGAACCTTATTCATACTTCTATTATACCATTATTTTTAACCACATCTAGCTATTTTTATTGATTTTTTTTAAAGATTTATTTATTTTTATACAAGAAACGGGGTACAGGCCAGATGTGCGGGAGGATAAGAGGATTCATGCCAGGGACCAGCCTCCGGCAAAATGTCGTGTCAGGGATTCCTGAAAGGATGAGACGGCCTCGGCGACCTGTAAGGGGCTGAAACTTAAGGGCTAAGGGGAAGAGGATGAGGTAGATTGAGGAGACACTGACACTTGGTGAGGTGCAAGTATCTTCTGCCGAGAGACTCAGCAGGTCTTTATTTATTTATTTTTAGTAAGCAGAAAAAAAAAAATACATTGTCATGTGTAAAGCAGAAACAATTAGTTTATTTTATTCCCATGGACTACTGGCTCCTACCGGTCCCAGCTAGACGGTAGCCTTCAAGGTTAATAGATAAAAAACCAGACCTAACACTAAAACTTATTTTTTCAGGTAGACCATTATCTAAGACAGTGGATAGTCGCCAGTGCTTCCCTATCAGCTAAAGCCTAAGCATCAAAAGACTATTTTATTCACATGGCCTTCAGTCAGAGACCAGCTGCTACTCAGCTATCAGAACTTTTTCTACCTACAAACTTTTTAACACAGTTAACTTCATTTAAAAACTTTCCTAAGAAACTTCTAAATAGAAAGGAAACTTCTAAAAAACAAAAGAAGGATTTACTATAATTGTTATGCTGGATTGTTTATCAGATATGTACAATAAATTATCTCCCATTGTTAATTGGGCCGAATTGTGTAGTAACTAATTTCTAAACAGGTAATTTTCTGTGCCAATTGCTTGCAGTCTGCTGATACATATAATTTATAGCCTAATGTACTTTTTGGGAAATTTTGTCTCTCTTTATGACCAAGAACAAAAAATGAAGGAATGTTAGATCTTCAGCCCCACGGTGTGAGGCACAAGGAATCTTCAGCCCCACGGTGTGAGGCTCTTTAGCTTCGGCCCCACGGTGTGAGGCCCTTTACCTTCGCTGTTTGCCAGTGTCTTATCTGGCTGGGGCATCAAGGCCTCCTGCAGCAGATTCACCAGAGACAGCTGGGAACAGAACAGGCAGACTGACCGAAATACACTGCTGAGGGGAGCAGCGGGCAAGACAGGAGAGGTCTGCCCCGCCATGTGGGTATCTCTGCAGCTGGCGGGGATTGATTCGGCACTGCAGAGGCTGCGGACAGCTTCACAGCACTGTGCTCAACTGCCTGCACCACCGGGGAGGCCCTTTATTGATAATATTGTGTTAGATACTTTACATAACTTACTGCAGTTTGTTCTCACAGTAACTCCAGGAGTTAATAGATACTATTGGTTAGTACTTGGCATGGTAGTCAACAGAATGAATTTCAGAATGACCAGAAAGCTTTATGTTCTGATATTAATATTTCTACACCATTATGACTTTGTTGTTGTTATAATTGGTATCCCATAGTTACTCTTCTCATATTTGTTAGCCATTTAGATTTTTTCTTATGAAGTCCCTGACCCAGTCTTTTGCCTGGTTTTTGTTATTATTTTCTTCTTTTGGGTTGTTTGTCTTACTATTAGTTTGGAGGAAATCTATAGGTATTTTTGGATCTTTGTTAATTGTTAGGTTTTACAGATTGCTTTTCCCATTCCTGTGGCAGATTCAAGTTGCAATTTCAAGAGTAGATCAGATCTCGATAGACAAAGATAATATTGCTAGTCAGTAGAGAGAATAAGCAAGATTATAAGGCACAAAAACCAACTCACATGAAATCGTTGACTTGCTTGGTTGGACGGAAGGTCCTTAAAGTGAACTAATAAAAGATAAACTTAAAATTCGTAGCACCAGGGAGGCTCTAGAAAATGTCAGAAACAGGGCCTCCCCGGTGGTGCAGTGGTTGAGCACTGGGCTACGAAGCTGCCAGCAGCCTCTGCAGCACCAGTTTGATCCCCAGCCACGAGGCGAGGGTCCCACATGGCGCGCAGACCTCTCCTGCCGCCTGCTGCTCCCCTCAGCAGTGTACTTCGTCAGTCCGGGCTCTGGTGAATTCTCTCACCCTCCCACGCTTCTGACTGTACCCCGGTGCTTGTATAAATAAATAAATAAATCTTAAAAAAAAAAAAGGAAATGTCAGAAACGTACCTCAATAATTGAGACTAGACAAACTGAAGGAAACCTTGAAGACTGTTTTACCTTTGTGGCTAGCTAGGTGTAGGCTTTTTGCCTTTTCTGCCAGGGAATGAATCTTCCTTTACTTAAATTGTCTGCCCTTGTGTCACTCCTGCTGAGAAGGTGAATTTTGGAGTTGGAAGTGAGGAGGAGCCTATATGGACTTGCTTCATCTTATCTGTGAAGAACTCTAGAATTCTAAGACAGACTTACTGGATAGTAAGCCATAAAATACCTTCATATAACTACCTTACTGACTTGATGTTTCTTTTTCTTTTCTTTTTTTAAACTTAGATGTTCTTTATTAGCAAACTTATGCAGGGTTAATCCTAAACCAGTTAACAGCAAATGGTATCTCTAATAGGTTCTAGATGGAGCAGCAGAACTAATAAAAAATGGCCTCTTAAAAAAGGGATTGATATATGTATGCATATACACACATACACATACATACATATCATATGTATAAGCATTTTTTTATAAAAGTAAAATTCTCCAGTTTTGAGGAAAACGTATATACTAAAGTGATTTCAGTTTATTAAAAAACACCATTTGGCAGTCTATGCTGCCTTTATTAAAAAACCCAACTCAGGATAAACCCAGGAGAAAACCATCTTCTCTTTTAAAAAAAAATTCTTCCTGGGCCTCCCTGGTTGCACAAGGAGTTAAGATGCAACCTACTAAGCTATCCGCAGCCACTACAGCACAGGTTCGATCCCTGGCCAGGGAACAACCCACATAGCACAGCAGGGCTCTCCTGACTTGCCCACTGCTCCCCTCAGCAGTGTATTTCAGTCAATCCACCTGTTCTGTTACCCGCTCTATCTCTGGTGAATCCTCTCACCTCACACACCTCTGGCCTGTATCCCAGCTCTTGTTTGCTTAAATAAATAAATCTTTAAAGAAAAAAAATTCCTCTTTCTTCTCCTTCTTGTTCAACTTCCACTACTTATTCCTAGAAACACCCATGGAATAACAGTGTAACAACAGCCAGCAGTCCCCTTTCAGTCTCTTCCCATCCATCCTTGAATACTCATGCCAAGAATTGATTATTATTTAGGAATGTTCACCTCTTCTACTATCAGGAAATTGATTGTAATTTCAGGGCTAGATATCTGGGAACTTGTAAAAAACCATCCTTACTCTTTCTTTCTTCAGTGAGGCTCCTGCAAGCTCTGTGAAAGACCAAGGTGGGCAGTGAAAATAACCCAACCAGAAGACTAGGGGCCCTTTCTAAATAAAGACACCCAACATCTTATAACCTAAGTCTAACCTACTAGGTAAAAATGAGTAGCTGCAGGCACCAAACTATTGACATACCAGAAGGTGCTCCTTTCTCCCCACTTTTGCTATTATGCAGGTAACAGAGGGGAGGAAGAGAGAATGAATTCAAATATATGGAAATTAAATTATTATCTTCATTGAAAATTATCTATTGTATAGTGTTCAGCAGATAAAATCTCAGACTTTGCAGGTTTTTTCAAGTTCTGTTCACAGCAAAGCTTGAAGAAAATGTAGTATTTAACATAACTGTTCTCATTATTAGAAATGATATACTTTTAAAACCTAGTGTGTAACACTAAGTGATAATCATTTTTTCCTCCATAGGCAAGAAGTTTGATAGCTGTAGGACTGGGTGTTGCAGCGCTTGCATTTGCAGGTAAGATAAATAAAGGATAAACATTAATAAATTTTACAAGAGCAATATTACCAAATAGCTCCTATAGTGATTTGTAAGCAGACTCTTAGTATCCTAAGGTGTTTGGCTTTAGGACATTATATAGTCTCATTCTTTCCACCATTTATAGTCACTGAACATTTGTCAGCAAAATCTAGATAAACTTTGTAGTAGTGAAAAAAAATTAATAATATAAAAGCTAGGAAAACTAGCCCCATAATAGTCAATCTGCCTGCAATCTGCCTGTTTGGGTTTTTTTTTTTTTTTTTTTTTTTTTTTTTTTGTAGTATGAGCAATAGTGTACTATAAAAAAAAATCTTTAATATGAAGCAATGTAGGTGATATGGGGTTCCTTCATTCTCCCATATTTATTTTTCTTGCAGGTAAGGTCACATATTTCCTGCTATGTCAGTTCTTTCTGATCAGCACAGTTGTTCCCTGTGGTGTACTTGTTGCTTCATTTTTTTCTTTTTTTCTTTTACAGCCAGAATCACCTTTTTTTTTTTTAAATCTTGGGGTACAGGCCAGAGATTCAGGGAGTGAGAGGATTCACCGGAGACAGAGTGGGGAACATAATAGGCAGACTGATAGAAATACATTGCTGAGGGGAGCAGCAGGCAGGTGAGACAGGAGAGGTCTGTTTTGCCATGTGGGTTGCTCCCTGGCAGGCCAGGGATCGAACTCTTGCTGTAGAGTCTGCGGATTGCTTCATAGTGGGGTACTTAACCCATTGCGCCACCAGGGAGGCCCCAAAATCACCTTTTAAGGAAGAATAGTTATAAAGACTTAAAGCACAATTGTTCCCTTCTAGTCATTTATTTACAGTTTTAACTGGCATAGCTGTTCTTTAATTAAATTATCTAAGAGCATTTCCTTATTGATAAATATTTATAGTTTTTGTCTTAGTATTTGTGTCTCTAAATAGATAGCTTCTTCTAAAATATCTATGTACTTGAACTTTTTGTAGAAATCTTGATTCACAAGATAAAGTTATGATGGGATATTGAATTCACTTTAATTCATATAATTCATATAAGTCCGTGTCATATAATGGTTTCGGACTTTTGGGACAAGGGACTAGTATTAGTTGACACACATTCGGATTAGGGTTCATAAGGTGAATTAGCTAGATAATTTATTCTTGTTCTGTGCTCTCAAAACAATTTCAGACCTGTTTTATATCAATTTGTAGATTATTAGGATGCCTAAGAAAGGAAAGTCTAAATAAAATAAGTTCAGAAAAGTAGTCATCCTCAGTGAGAAATTGGTAATAAAATTACTTGGTAAATATTTCTACATAATTGTTTTTTTATTTTAGAATTAACTTTATAAAAATCATGCCTCTGTTGTATAGATTTTATTTTTTTTTTAAAGATTTTTTTATGCATACAAGAGCTGGGGTATAGGCCAGAGGTGTGGGGAATAAGAGGATTCACCAGAGATAGAGCGGGGAACAGAACAGGCCTATTGACTGAAATACACTGCTGAGGGGAGCAGCGGGCAAGTCAGGAGAGGTCTGCTGCGCCATGTGGGTAGCTCCCTGGCCCTGGCCGGCCAGGGGATCGAACTCGTGCTTCAGTGGCTGCAGACAGCTTCAGAGGTTGCGTCTTAACCTCTTGAGCCACCAGGGAGGCCCTGTTGTATAGATTTTAAGTAGTGTTTGTTTTCTGTTGTTTCAAAGTGATCATCATTGAAAAGTAATACAAATAATCATTTTAGATACATGAATATCTTTATACATAAGGGATGTTATTAACAGTTTCTTGTGGAAAGAGTACTAGAATATTATTTTTTGTGACCAGTAATGTTGTATAAATTAAGGTACTATAAACATGAACACTGACATTTTGGAATTTTATAATCATGTTCTAGAACTTGATAAATTTAATAGCCATGGTAATGATGTTAAAATGAAATTCTTGTCCATTTGATAAATTAGAAGTTTGAAAAAATACAACTTTCTGGTAAATTTTGAAGTGGTTATTAAAACAATGTGTATATATGTGATATGTGTAAAGAAAATATCTAAATTATCATAAATACCAAGGTAAGCACCTATGGGTATTGACTTTGGTTATAGAAAATATATTTGCTTTCATTCCTGTTACTTTTTAGGTCGCTATGCATTTCAGATTTGGAAACCTCTACAACAAGTAATCACAGAAACTGCAAAGAAGATTTCAACTCCTGTAAGTTAAAGATGCCTTTAGTAAAAAAGTTCAATTTGATTGTTTTATGCCATATTTGATAGTAATTTATAAAATGTCTCAGATTGTCCAGTGTTTGTAGAAATTTACTTCCTTCATTATATTATCTTGGAGTTATTCTAATTTACTGATTTTATGTCTTCAAAGTTTCTTGGTCATTTTTTTTAATGCCATCTAATTCCTGTTTTTAACATATAATTGTTATATTTCTTTTAACAGTATTACATCAAGTCTGATGTAGTTTATTTTCCTTGCGTAATTAATAGTCATTTATTCATCTAGTGATAGTCCCTGTATAAGGAACTGATACAGGTCCCTGACTTGATGAGCTACATAAGCATTTATTTCATCTTACAATTTGAAAGTAGGTCCCTTGTACCATAATATCTGTGCATTCCAAATATAGAATAATAAGATTCCAAACCTGAAATCCTGGAGGGCTTGCATATTCACCTACTATACATTATAGGGACTCTGCTGAGCTAAAAGAAGAATGAATGATAGCAGCTACCTAGAAAACCTCAGTGTGGTGAACTGGTTTGTGACTACTTTAGACATTGCAAAGAAACTCACTGAAGCAGTGCAGCAGAAATATTGACTTCTGGGAAATAGAAGCAGATCAGGAATAGATCAAGTTGACTTGTAGCAATTTGAGAATGAATGACTTGTTTTAGCAAAGGCATTACAGACTTGAGAGGCTTAGTTAGCTGTGAACAATGACTACACTTTCAAAGGATGACAAACTGACAAATAATTAAACTGAGGTTCAAAAGAATAGCAAGTGATTTTGCAGACCTCAAGGTGCATGTCTGTGAATAGAGGAATCTTCTGTTTATTTTCTGTTTCTCTATTTTATTTGGCTAACGTATGGATAGCTGTTTAGCATTCATTCAGTAGATATTCCTTATGCACATGCTGCATGTCAGACAACAATGTGGGAGTGGGAATGTAGTGTCATGGATGATTATATATGTGTACATACATTTTAGTGGAGGCAACTGAAAAATGACTAAGTAAGATAAATACTATTTAGAAAATAGGGCAAGCGAAAACAGAGTGTAATCTGTTAGATTGATCAAGGAGACCTCTCAGAAAAAATGAGGGAGCAGGCTCTGTGAATATCTGAAAGAGTTTTATGGGCACTTGGAACTCCACAAAGATCCAGAGGTAATAATGAGTTTAGCAGCAAGAATAACTCCAATGGAGAATTTGAGGGAGTCCTGGTAGGTTGCTCCTAGATCATAAAAGACTTATGATAAAAATTGCAAATACTACAGTAAGTATGATGGAGCTTCTTTGAGACATTTTGAGCATGAGGGCAATATGATTTGCATTTTAGATATCACACTGCCTGCTACATAGAGTTTAAAGTAGGATGAGCCACAGTAGAAACAAACCAGCTAAGAGGGTATTGAGACAGTCTAGATAATAGATAACAGTTGTTTGAAATTGAATAATAGGAATGGAAATACTGACATAGTTTTTTAAGTGATGCTATGTATGTCTTTCCATATGTTTATAAATAATAAGTAGAGAGAGAATTTCAGAAATCATTTCTCTTCTGGTAGGGTATGTTATATAGATATATTTATATCATATGTAGATATAGTTATGCCATAAATTGAAGAACTATATTATTTAACATTGTAAATGAAGAGAGAGCAAGAAAAGGAGAAAATTTTCACTGTTCTGTGGAAGCTTGCAATAAGGCTGAGTAGTTAGTGAGATTGCTGTGTAGACTGAACCTGGGGCCTTCATTTTTCTTTCTTTTTTTGTAATAGCTTCATGAAAACTTATTTTTTTATTACTTTATTTTTTTATTTTTTATCATTGTTCATTTTTAAACAATATTTGCTTCCCCCGACCCCCTCAGGTGTAGTTCCCATAGTTTCCTTCACCTGTGTGGTTTTATTATTATTATTATTTATTTATACAAGCGCTGGGTACAGTCAGAAGCGCGGGAGGGTAAGAGAATTCACCAGAGCCAGAGCGGGAAACAGAACAGGCAGACTGACGAAATACATTGCTGAGGGGAACAGTGGGTGGCAGGAAAAGTCTGTCACGCCATGTGGGACCCTCGCCGGTGGCCAGGGATCGAACTGGCGCTGCAGAGGCTGCAGGCAGCTTCGAAGCCCAGCGCTCAACCGCTGCGCCACCAGGGGAGGCCTACCTTGTGTTTCTTAAGGAGAGGGAAATGATGTATGCCAGTTCCCTCTCCTTTGTGGGCTTCAAGTTAAAAAATAAACAAAGGCTTTTGTTAAGTCTGGTCCCCTTTTAAAGTACTACTACTCTTGCAGCTTGCAGTGACACATCTTAGGATATCTTTATTGCCATCATCATTGTACCTCAGTTGAGCTATGAGTTTGTTTACTTTTTAACAATTCTTTAAGTCTTAATTATTCTGGGGAAACTGAGAAGTGGAATCTGCATACATTCTCTTGGTTCTACAGACTCCAAAGAAGTAAAGCTTCATAAATAGCATACAGTGTTTTCATTTTGTCAGCATGATTTGTTATTGAATCAAAAGTTACTGAAAAATAGGAAGTGTAATCATGTGTTACTGTTTCTGGTACTCAAAGGAGAACTTCGAGGCTCAAGTTCCTTTGGGTTCTTTTCATTTTTCCTTAAACATTTGCTTCCTCTATTCTTTAATATCATCTCATTCTTAAATCTCATCTTTCTCTTCACCACACTTTTTTTTTTTTCATTTTGTTGGAATCTTCTCCCCCCCCCCATATGAATATGTGGGTAGTAAATAAGTTCTTTTTTCTTAAACAATTTGCTTCTAATGCTTTCACTGTTAATTAGCAACTGCTAACTCCTAAAAATGTGGTGGAGCCAGTATCAGAAGACTGCAGAAATCTCTGTGCCCTACCTAATCTCTTTACACTACATAATCTCAGCCAAATTTTCTGTTATTCCTTGGTTTGCAGTTGATTTTGATTTTCTTTTGTTGTTTGGATTTTGGTTTTTGATGATTTTTCTTTGTTGCTTAACTCTGGAAATTTGGAAGATTATCTCTTTATTACTGATGCCCTCAAATGTCAAAGGAATCCTAGTAAGCCTTATCTAACGCGAAAAGTGTCTATCTTTTGTTCTGTAATTGTCTAGTGTATTTTAAAATATTTTGTTTTTCTTTTTGTTGTTGCGCTATATCTGGAATTCTTAGTGGACAGATGCTGGATCTATGAGCCTGTTCTTCATGCCTCAACATTTAGTCTCTTTATTTTTTTCCATCTCCTTATCTTTTTGTTGTATATTCCACAGCATTTCCACAGGTTATTTCCCAGATCATCAGGGTGGCCTTTAATAGTGTTTATTCTGTTATTCAGTGCATCCATTAAATATTTTGCATTAGTAAATTTTTAATAATCCAAGAATTTTTCTTTTTTCATAGCATCTTATTCTTTGTAGAGGTATGTTATCCTTTTGAAATCTCTAAAGATACTAGAGAAAATTTTGTCAAATATTCTTCTGCTTCCTGATATATCTCCTCCCTCTAAAGTCAATTATTTTTTTATCTTGGTTCTCTTCATCCCTAAATATTGGATTTGTTCAAATATCCGATGATCTTTTGTTATTAGTTTATGTTTTTGAGGACTAAGTTGATTTCTATAAGTGACCTTCCTCAGCAGTTGTTAGGCTTGCTCTAACTATTTAATTGAATGAGAGGGTTGATGTGGACTGAAAATACATATATGGGTAATGTCAACACTCTTGTCTTCAAAATTGAGGATTCCAGAAGATACTTGGGACCTACAGTGTCCTAGAGCAACTGAGTATTGTGTATATTTTACTCCTTGATATGATTAGTTTATGTTTTTGAGGACTAAGTTGATTTCTATAAGTGACCTTCCTCAGCAGTTGTTAGGCTTGCTCTAACTATTTAATTGAATGAGAGGGTTGATGTGGACTGAAAATACATATATGGGTAATGTCAACACTCTTGTCTTCAAAATTGAGGATTCCAGAAGATACTTGGGACCTACAGTGTCCTAGAGCAACTGAGTATTGTGTATATTTTACTCCTTGATATGACTGTCCTCCCCAGCCTTCTGGATTCTGAAATGTGATATTTCCCTTTGCCTCTTATCATTCATAGTAAGATGCCTTCCAGGTTTAATGGTTCTCTTTTTTTTACCCCCAGGTCCTAAAGTGACAGGCCCTTATGGCAAGGCCCTTAAGCTGGCAAGGCCCTTATGCTGTGTATTGATAGAGAATGTGTATCTCTATTATTATGGTTTAATTATTACCCTGATGTTATTGTTTGCACTTATTGACTCTAATTTATTGTTTTCTTCTTCCTGAGTGGAGGATCTTCTTTCCTCTGGTGATAGGGGCTGTTGTGATTTTTCTGTATGTAAAATGATGTTTCTTTAACCTTTCTTATTTGTCTCTGCTACCCTTGTGGGGAACTCTGAAGCTCAGATTATGCTTGTCCCAATTTGGTCCATGAGCCATGAGACTAAAATGACATCCTCTGGGAAGAGAATATATCAATAGATAAGAAGTCCAAGGGTTGAGCCCTTGGACTCAACTCAGGCATTTATACCTGCCTGTCAACCAGTCATTAGACAGAGACTGCCCTGGGTAGGGGGATATGAACTTGGCTTTCTTCAGCTAAGGCAATTCTGTATAATAGCAGAGTGCCAGCAGCAGCCCTGGAGTTAAGGGGGAAGTCCTTCTCTCTGAAGGGGGATCTATATAGCCTTTAATAATACTACATCATCCTTAATTTTTCTTTTTCTCCTAGCCTCTATTCATTCCACTAAGCAAATGTTAGTTCTGTTTTTAAAGTATCCCCAAAATCAATTTTTACTGCCTCCTATTACCACATTGGTTCATTATACCATCATCTCTTGCTACCTTTGTTATGTCCTCTTAACTGGGTCTCCTGCTTCCTTTTTTGCACCTCTCTTTCTAGTCTCCACATAGCAACTAGAATAATCCTTTCAAAACAACATCAGATTGTTACTGCAGTGCTCCGTATGCTCCCACTGAAAATACTATCCTAAATGATTTCCTTTACCTTCTAGGCCCTCCACAATATCATCTGAATTCCCTCTCTTTAAGTCTACTCTTTTTGCTCACACTCTCCAGCCACATCGACCTTTCAATTCAGTTTTCCACTCTTTTGGCCTACCTGTCTGCTATCCTAATGTCCTCCTCACTTTTGTCAATTCCGTCTTTTCTCTATCAGCCTGTCTACCGACGAAGTTACATAGGTGTCTGTCATATAAATCTACTTTAAATTACTTGGTCTCACCAGCTTATCCAATGAGATTATTGCAGAATTTAAGAAAAGTTCCAGCCTTTGCTTCTACCAATATCTATTGTTCCTCAAGTTATATCTTAGTATAGAAAAATGAATGTATTTGAAATTGAAGAAAGTTGTTAATGTCTTCTAAGTGTTCTTCATGGTCATAATTTCTTGCAAAAAGACTCATTGTTTAGTTTGCCCACCCCCACTTCCCAATTTCAAGTTGACTCTTACTAACAGGCATTACTCTTATTGCAGCTGGGGATTGAGGTCATAACATCCCTTACATGGAACTAATTATTTCTTGCTCTTTCTTTCCTGTACAGAGCCTTTCATCCTACTATAAAGGAGGATTTGAACAGAAAATGAGTAGGCGAGAAGCTAGTCTTATTCTGGGTATAAGGTAGGTGTTTTGCATTTGTACTGTTTTGTTATGTGGCCAAGTTGTCTTATAAAATGAAAAAAAAAAAAACATTACTGTAAAGTTATCTTTATATTTTAAATTATAAATAAGAAGCAGAGGAGAAAATGACAAATTTTTACATTTCAATGATCAAATTTAAGGGACTTCCCCACTCTCTCTGAGAAAATCCGGCAAAGTTGTGATCTGCCTTTATTCAGTAACAAGGAGTTACATTTGAATACTAAAGTTCCAAAGCAATTATTGTGACATTGAATTCTTCCTGGAATCAGTTTTATAATTTGATAACTGGCATTTTTTCAGTAATTCTTTTTTAGTTCCACAATTTGACCTCTAGCATACAGTATTGTTTCACCTTCCTGCCCATTTATCTAACTTTTTTTTTTTTAAGATTTATTTTATTTTATTTTATTTTAAAGATTTATTATTTATGCATACAAGAGCTGGGGTACAGGCCAGAGGTGTGAGGGGTGAGAGGATTCACCAGAGACAGAGTGGGGAACAAAACAGACAGATTGACTGAAGTACACTGCTGAGGAGAGCAGCGGGTGAGTCAGGAGAGGTCTGCTGTACCATGTGGGTTGCTCTCTGGCTGGCCAGGAATTGAACTTGTGCTGCAGTGGCTGCAGATTGCTTCATAGGTTGCGTCTTAACCCTTGCGCCACCAGGGAGGCCCAAGATTTATTTTATTTATTTATGCATGGAAGAGCTGGGGTCCGGGGGATATTGAGAAGATTCACCAGAGACAGAGTGGGGAGCAGAACAGGAGGATTTACTGAAATACCCTGCTGAGGGGAGCAGTGGGTGAAACAGGAGAGGTCTGCTGTGCCATGTGGGTTAGCTCTCTGGCCATGAATCAAACTCCTGCTGCAGTGGCTGCAGATTGCTTCATAATGCTGAGATTTAACCCTTTGTACCACCAGGGAGGCTCCATTTGTCCAACTTTAGACAGGAGAAAGTTAATGATAGTGTGTGATTGCTATATGGTATCATTTAACACTTGACGTTTAAGAATATCCCTTACCATAGATTTACCAGGGGCTGTATTTATTTGATTACTTTGTGGTCTTCTACAGAACTGCTAAATTTTTTAGTGGGGTTTTAGTTACAGTGTGTTACTCATGATAAAAATCTTCTGGTGATTTATAAAAAAGCAAGAAATGAGAACTCTCATTTAGAGAAGAAAAAGGGAATATTTTTTAAGCAGGAAACTAAATTGGAAGATAACTATATTACTAACTATTCCTTGCTTTAATATTATTCAAAAATGGCATTGCTATTTTTCTTGAACTATTAGTGGGCCCCCATAGCATCCCTTTATAGTCTTAGAATGTGATATGAAACACGTTATAACACTAATTACAAAGGTTTTTGAAAATTTCATTTAATATCCAAGGCAGTCCGGTTGTTTGGATACTTAGGTATTGACTTAAGATACATAGAAAGTTTTGTCACAATGAACTGGACTGTACACAATTTCACAAGGGAAATTCAGTGGTTAAGAGCACAGGCTTTGAATCTGGTTACAAATACCAGTTTTTCCATCTATGACTACTCCAGTTTAATCATTGGTAAAATGGAGCTAATGCTGCTTTCTACAGCATACGGTTGTTGTGAAGATTTATATATACAAAATTCTTTGCACAAAAATGGCACTTAGTAGCTTCTCAGTAAATAACAACCAAGCAGAACGTTCTTATGAATCTGTTGCTGGGGCACTGTACTACATAATCTTGATAAAGTTATTTTTAGCCATTCTGTACTTCAATTTCTTCAGCTTTGAAAAGGAATTATTAATATTTAGCCTTGTTGTAATTCGTAAAATGATATGATGACACACCTTTTTATAAAAGTCCCCACCAAATAACAGTTGTGGAATAAATGTTGGCTCTGCTTTCTTCCCATCTCTATCATGAATGTAGAAGCTAAAGATTTTACCCTTACGACATTAAACAGAAGGTTGAAACTCCTTTGCTTTTCTCTAAACCTTTATTTCAGTTAGGCAACACTGACTTGGACAAAATTAGTCAAGATGTGAATGTATTCTTATGCTTCCAATTTCCATGATCAATGAATCTAAACTATTTTGACTATATGACAAGTAGATAGAGCCACAAATGTAGCTGACTATTGATAACCTATTTAAAAAATACTCCTTAATTCTGTATATTTATACATATTTCAAATAGCCTGAAATGGGCCTTCCAGGTGGCACAGGGGTTAAAGTCTCAGCTCTAACAAGCTATTGCCAACCACTGCAGCACAAGTTCAATTCCCAGACAGGGAGCTAACCCCACATGGCAGCAGACCTCTCCTGTCTTTCTCTCTGCTCCCCTCAACAGTGTATTTCAGTAGATCAGCCTGTTCTGCTCCCTACTCTGTTTCTAGTGAATCCTCTAATACCCCGTACCTCTGGTCTGCACCCTAGTTCTTATATGCATAAATAAATAAAAATAAATCTTTTGTTTTTAAAAAAAAATGATGTGGCATTCTAGTGGCTCTGGTGTCCAAATACCTCTATATTGCCTTCCCTCAAAATAACTTGAAGCATCAATCATTCAGTTTACAGTATGGTACTCAGACAGAGATTCATCTACCCATATATCGTGTTCTATTTTTTTTTAATTGATTAAGGACTGGTATTACAATGGTTTGAAGAAAAATACAAGCAACATTGAATTAGTGATTTTTTTGACGGTTGATGGGATTAAGTGACAAGCTGTAATTTCATAATTTATCCACAAGATGGTGAAATCCTCACTAGTTTTAATTTATTGAAACCTATATAAAGCATTAGTTTATAATCAGCATTTGACACTTTATTATACGCACTTTAATATTTTTTACAGCCCATCTGCTGGCAAGGCTAAGATTAGAACAGCTCACAAGAGAATCATGATTCTGAATCACCCAGATAAAGGTAGGTAAAATTCATGTTTTTCATGATATATACTTCTGAATATACTCTGCATTCCTTTCAATTTACTTAAACTTACTTCAAATGATACGTAGTTGAAGTGGAAGTTTATATGACGCATGTTTTGTGATTTTTTTCTTATAAATAAATGAGCCTTCAGATTACAGTTTAGTGATCCACAGAATTAGTAGCTTTATATTATCAATGTTCAAAGGGCTTAGTTACTGAATTTTGCATGTAAGTAACCTCTGTTAGTGGTTATCCTAGCATTTTGATTTAGAAGAAAACATGAATTGTGGACTCTTTGTATAAATTGATCTGGACATCATGAATTACATTCGTTTAACCTTAAACACATAAGTACAAGATTTTGAATGTAATATGTCTTAAAGAGTATGAATTTCTTATTTTTATTCTAGAAGGCTCTGAGGCTGAGCCATTTGTTTTTAACTGGCCAGGTTTTTAATGTAAATTTATCTTACAGAAAGACAATTATTATAACTTTAACTACACTACAGCTGCTTGAGAGAGAAAGCCCATATGCTCATTACTGTTTCTTCTCTAAAATAACAGATGGTAGAAAGTTGCACTGTATTTTAGAAGTCGGGGGGTGGGGGAAGGAGGATGAAGGTTTTTTTAATTCTTATTTTTAGACTTTCAATTTTCTGATTATTTTGAAATAAAATCAAATTTTGGATTCCTGCCCATCCTAACTCACACCAAAATAAGGCATTCCTTTTCATCTTTCTCACTTAATTACTTACTATAAAAATTCTTTTCCCTAAACATCATCTCTTTTGGTTTTTGAACTTGCTATTCTTTAGTATGAATAAACAAGAGAATAAATTAAAAAAAAAAGATGTTGCTTAAAATTTCTAAACAGCTTCAGTGGTTACTGAAAGCACCACTCAACTAATTTTCTCTGCATTGTGGGCTTTCAGAGTAATTGACTCAGAAAAAAATGTGTTTAAGTGCCCCCTTGAAGCCCTCCCTCTCCTAAACACCCTCTGTCCCTTCCAGGTCAAGTGTATGCCCTTCTCTCATTGATTGCAGTAAGCTCAAGCACTCATAGTTTTCAGATGATTGACAAATCGTTGATTGTGTCTATGGGCAAGGATTCAAGTTCTGAAATGTATGAAAGATAATATGTATGTTAGATGCCATTAGTACAAACAGGGAATATTTGGTATCTTAGAAATGAAGAGTTTGACAAAATACTTGATTTATTCTGAGATTGTGTATTTATCAGAGGCAGGTTGGCTGAATGCCTGTAGTGTGCGCACTGTTCTCCCCATGCCTGGTTAGGGTGGGTAGCAATGTCTGAGGGAGTAGAACTGGAAGCAGGAGGCCAGCATTTCTCTTTGGCTTCTGCCTTCTAGCTTCCAATGTGGTCTTTGACACAACCTCAGCGTCTCCAAATGTCAGCTTTGTCATCTTTAGAATGAAAGGAATGATTTTTAAAGCCCCCTTTTTTGTCATGTAATGTAGTAACTTTATGTGCCTACTCAATGAAGAACCTATACTCTGTATTTCTATTTATTTTGTATGTTTAATATAAGAGAAATGCTTTTAATTTTAGAATTAGGGTACCTTCTAAAAATGTATTAGTTGTGGATGTTTGTCCATGTCATTACTCATGAACCCCCATATTTAAAACATTTGGAGCTTCAAAGGGTTCATGTACATTCATAATTAAGAACTCTTTTGCTCTAGGAAAAGTATGGCAAATTAAGGAATATTGGAACTACTGGGTGGAAAACATTTGTATATGATGGAGTTGGGAGATGATGGCTCATAAATCTAGAAATTGTCTATTGGAAAGGATAATTCTTTTGGTTTTAGTGCGAAGAAGATAATAGGTTTTAAACAAAAAGTTCTCATTGTTGGATAGAGAAAGCCAGGAATAATAGGGGAAGTATGAGAATGGACTGCTCTTACATTTTGCTTCCTCTTGAATAATTTATTGTAAGTAAGATGCAGAATAAGAATTGAACATTAGATTTAGCAGTGTAGAAATCTTTGTTTATCTTGATAGGAGTGGGTTTGGAGGAATGGTGACACAAAGACTATTGTCTCCTCTTTTTATAATTCTTTACCATATTTACTTTGACCAGGTCACCACTGAGTGTTGTTATCTATAGGTGGTTGCAAAAACTTAAATCTTCTACCCATTGCTTGTGATATTCATGATGTTGCCTCACGTCGCCCTGCCTCCCAGTTACATTTCTGTTGATTTTGCTACCTTGATAAAATAAAGTTAGAACTCCAGAACTTCACATGTGTGATCAGCTATAATTTGTTACACATTTCATTATCAGCTTGTGCAAAGAAAGTGACACCAGAAAATTAGGTGTGAGAAATGACTAAAAGTAAAATTTTTGTAACCAGTTTTAAATGAGCATTCAAAGATGTTTTGGTAAAAATAGAATTTTGCAGTTTCAATTTAGTGAGATAAAAGGTTAATACAATAAAAAATCTGAGGTCTTTCATCTAATGCTTTTAGACTAATATCTTTTAAATTATGCTTTTGTAAATTGGAGAGAGAGGTTAGTTGTTATGAAATGAGTGGCTTGTTTTTAAGATCCAGTGAATATAGAAAAGAGAACAGCCCAGATAAATTAGGAAAACTGTAGAACCACTGCGATCTCTTACAGGCTATCTGATTCAGTCTACTCGAAGTATAGTTCACCTGTTCATGCCAGGTTACGGTTTTGTTTAAAAAAGAAGTTTAAAAAGAAATCAAAAGTAAGCATTTAGGAAACCTTATAGCAGTTTGACATTGTGTTGACATCCAAATGTGTTGCTTTTGTATTTTAAGTGTGAAAGTTTCAATCTACCACAAATTGGAAATTTTTTTTAAAGTTGTATTTTTCTAGTTTGGGAGACACTGGTTTCATCAGTGCAGCTCCTAAATCAAGATTGTTTCTGTTCCATTCCAGGAAAAAGGGCCTACTAACTTCCTTAAAGATTTTTAGTGATGGAAACCTAGTTCTGTTTTGCCAGGCAGAGTTGGTGGACTGTTCTGATTCCTGAATGTTCTTCCTTGTATTTAGTCAAAATCTGCCATCCTGCAACAGGGGGATTCTCAGAATTTTTCCATTTATGCCCCAGTAAACATACAATATCCTCTCCTTTATTATTATTTCATTCAAAATTTAGTGAAACGTTGGGATTAAAAACAAATCAAAGTAATTATACTGTTGAATGAATTTTCCCTAATAATGCTTATTGTAGAAGACGTTAAATTGACATGAAACCCCCATATTTTAAAAGATGTACTGCAAACATTTTGCAAAAGAAAGACACAATCGCAAAGAGTAATCACAGGTTCACGATGAAAAAGTGATCCCTAAGTTGCTCAATTTCCTTTTCTTTGATAGATGTACTAGACTTATTTTTTGCCAAGGGTTAATCTTTCCTCATTTCAATATTTTATTTCAATTTAAGACTTTGTATTTTTTTTTTGTTTTGTCACACATTGATTTTCTTTGATACATGGTTAGATCTTTATGACTTATTCATCTTTATAAATCATTATGACTGACACTAAAAAAATATATTTCCCCATGAGTGAATGAATAAGCAAATGAATACAGTCATATGTATAAAGTTTATAAGATAGAATTGAAAATTGTAACTAATACATAATGATCATGTTAAAATTTTGAAAGACTCCTTATATTATTAGTATGAAATGACCTGAAACTATTCTTTCATTCAGAAATTATTTATTCAACTTCTACAATGTGCTTGAGATTATGCTAAATCTTGGAACCTTAAATGTCAAACAAGAAAGGTAGATCTTTGTTCTCATAGAACATACATTCTAATGGAGGGATGTGTCTTGAGCCTTATCTGTGTACTTGAGAGTTGATAGGAATCTACTCAAGAGGAAAGAAGACCTGGGATAGGAAACAGAAAAGTTTTACAACAACCATATGTTTAATAAGAAAAAAGTCTCTTAAACAAAAGGAGAAACATAGTGATTTGGTGAATAAGAAGAGTACAGGCTCAGGAAGCAGATTTTCTGAGATCCTGATTCCACCTCACATTAATTCTGTGGCTGGTGTTGGACAAGTTACTAAACTTATTTTTGTGATTCAGTCTCTTTATGTAATGAAAATATGAATTAAGTAATTACAGGGGATGGTTGGAAGAACCATATGAAATAATATATTAGAACAGTGCCTAGTGACTATTTTTGTCATCATGGACCTGATCATAACCTTGCCACCAGTTTATGCACATATGAATTTGAAGTATAATCAAACTTCAGGGAGGCCAACATATCTCCAGTATTATTATTTTTTTTAAAGATTTATTTATTTATACAAGCACTGGGTACAGTCAGAAGCTTGGGAGGGTGAGAGGATTCACCAGAGCCAGAGTGGTGAACAGACAGGCACACTGATGAAATACACTGCTGAGGGGAGCAGCGGGCAGCAAGAGAGGTCTGTGCACCATGTGGGACCCTCGCCGGCAGCCTGGGATCGAACTGGCCCTGAGTTTCGCAGCCCAGTGCTCAACTGCTGCGCCACCGGGGAGGCCTTCCAGGATTATTTTTTAAATAAACTTTTTAAAATTGAAATATGTACTCATAAAAGTACACAGATCATAAACATGCAACCCAATGAATTGTCACTTACGTAGCCAGTTCAATGTTAAGTACTGAAACCTTATATAGAGTCTCCTCAGTAATTTTCCAGTTATCTCTATTCAAAGGTAAGCACTATTCTGGTTTTTTAGTAAGATTATCTTTGCCAGTTTTTGAACTTTATGTGTTACTGTTTGCATTTGTCTTCTCTCATTATCTTTGAGATTTATTTATGTAGCAGTGAATGCTATAGTAGTGATTCATTCATATCTATTGTTATACAATATTCCATGATATGAATAGCCTACTATTTATTTATCCTTTTTTTTTTTTTCTATTGGACTGCCTCTTTTCCTATTGACTTTTGGGCAAACGATGCATTTTAGTATCCTGGATACAGATTCTTTGT